CCAAATTACTGGGAACAGAGGAAACAGGAAACTAAGGAAGCAAGTGGTTTCTCTGTGAATTCTACAGAGTTAAATTCTACTACCTAGTGGGAATAAAACACGGCTAAAATTGAAAGAATACATACCTAGGAATATGTATTAAACAACATTCTCCTTTTTGACTATATGCTTTCCAAAACACCAGTGTTACTCCTATCCCTGTATATTTGTTTACTATTTACTGGGCACCCATTATATGTCACCACTGTACAAGGTTTACACACAAATCTCACACTCACAGAGCAACTGGTCCAGCAAAGACCAGACACTGAAGCATACACGCCAGTATACAGACCAGAGAGAAGAAGGGTGTGAGGACATACACTGAAAACTAAACCCAGTGGAGGGACAAGAATGGTAACAGGATTTTCACAGCTTCTGTGACGATGTCGCTGGTCTTAAGTCCAAGATTATTCCACTAATATTTAGGCTTATATATGATTTTTTGAGGGGAGCAAGGGCCCACCACTGTGTTTGCACATAGTTACTCACCAACATACAAATGCATATAAAGCCTCCTGTGCTCACAACACAAAATTCTTCACCTTTCTCACATTGTTTACAACATTAGCACACCTCTGCAGAGCCCAAGCTCACCAGGCTAGTTTGTAGGCTCTTTATTTCATGTTAACTCACCAAGAAATGCTCCTGAGACCACTGGACACCAAGTTCTTTACTACCAGTCTGACTTTCATTCATCTATTTCCTCACTCAAGCCCTTGGGCATGGCCTGACACATCATGGTGCTTTATAAATGTAGGGTGAAAGCAAGAATATGTTTTTAACACTGTCTTGCTAAGAATTTTAGTAGTTTTTACCTCAATTTACAATATCCACAACACACACACACAACAACAACAACAACAACCCAACACACAAGTGGCAGTATATTTCTATTCATCTGTGTGGTCCTACAGAACTGGCATATAAGCACCTACTTATGAGTTCCTATTACCTAAGTACAAGTACCAAGTTATGAAACTGATTTTGTTTCCCACCTCTACAGAAACCACACTGGTTACTAACCCTCATAAACAAATTAATTTCCTAATGATGGCTGCCTTCTTGCCTAATAAATACTCTAATTCATGATCTCAGTTTCTACTCAAATCCATACCACATAATTTTTTTCATTTTTCTAAGAAACACAGTTTTCGGCATAAAACATATTTAGAAACACTAAATTGTGAAAAAAAATGAAACAAGGCAACAGTCTTAAGTCTCGGTGTGACTGTACTCTTTAAATGCCAATTTCATGTTTGACACAATTATAGTGTTTTAGACAAGTACAGAACTCTTAATAACAACTAGGACTCCTAGACTATAGTATTTTTAAATGGTAAGATCTTCAAACTAGTGCACAAACAACAATCAATCCCAACAGCACTGCCATTGAGAAACTTCTTTACTTACCAAATACCAAAACACTGAAATGAGGTGTGATATTCACAACTATAAAGTATGACATAAGACATAATGACCATCAAATGTAACAGTCATCTCATTGTGCTCCAGACTAGCCCAATTCAACTTCTTCCACTGAAGGAAGGCCCCACTTAATCCACTGTATGCTTCCACCTCAGATTACTATGATGCTCTTTTTTTATTAAACAAAACTGTAAGATCCTGAAAAGTATGCAATATAAGATACAATACCTGATGAAAGAAATTATGGTCTAATAAAGAAAGGAAAGCTCTTGTTATAAGTATGACCCCCACTAGGGGCTGGAGAGATGGCTCAGCAGTTAAGAACACTGGTTGTTCTTGCAGAAGACCCAGGTTCGAATCCCAGCACCCACATGGCAGCTAACAACTGTCCTTAACTCCAGTCCCAGGGGATCCGACAGCCTCTTCTGTCCTCCATGAGCACTGTACAGCACAGATACACTTACCTACATGCAGGCAATACGCACATACACATAAAATAAAATTAAATAAATAAATAAATAAATAAATATTTTTAAAAAATACATTCACTAGGTCATTAAATTTCTATTCAAAACAAGCTCTGTGCTAGAAGCCACAGATAAAATAATATATCCAGGCTTGGAGAGATGGCTCAGCAGTTAGAACACTGGCTACTCTTGCAGAAGACCTGGGTTTGAATCCCAGCACCTACACAGTGGCTAACAACTATTTGTAACTCCAGTTCCAGGGGATTCAATGGTCTCTTCCATCCTCCATGGGCACTGCATACATGTAAGCAATATAGTCATACACAAAAAATAAAAATAAATAAATCAAAAGAAAATTAAAAAATTAATATATTCCCATACAAAGATTAAGCCATATAGACAAGGCAAGAGCAATAGAGAGCAACTGCTACTATACAGCACAGGGACTCAAGAGAAAGCGCTTCACTGGGAGAGGGAAGTATCATACACAACTTCATGAAGGAGGCAATGCTTGAGCCAAGCTTTTATGATAAACAGCAAATGATAACAAAGACACCGAATGTGTACAGCACCACACTCAAGTCCAAACAAAAGCATGGAATGAGCAGGGCACACTCAGAAAACAGTTATTAGCTGAACAAGGAAAGCTATACAGCGTTCATTCAAAGAAATCTATCAGAAGAGAACACTGAGAAAATGCTGCCTACAGAGGCCATTAAGTGTCTTACTAAGAAATAGGACTTCACTATAAAGTAAATAGGAAACCAAAGCATTTAAAACCAAAAAAAAAAAAACAACTTGAGGAGCTAGGAAGATGGTTCAGTGGGTAAAGTACTTGCCTTGCAAGTGTGAGGACCTCAGTTTGAATCCCCAGCATCCACATAAGCTAGGCACAGCAGCATCCACTGGGGAGAAAGGGTTTAACTGATCCCTACATAACACACGCACACACCTGCATACCGACACCAGCACACTCACAAACAAACACATGCGCGAGCACGCGCGCATGCGCGCGCACACACACACACACACACACACACACACACACCACATAAAAACATAAAAATAATTTGACCTAGATTTTGAAATATTGCCATGATTTTAGTATAGAAGATGGACGAAAAGAAAAAAAGGCCAGGCGTATGCCTTTAATCCCAGCAGAGGCAGGTGGATCTCTCTAAATTCGAGGCCAGCCTAGTCTACATAGCGAGTTCCAGGCCAGCTGGGACTAAAGGGAGACCCTGTCTCAAAAAAGCCCCCCCCCAAAAAAAAGCAGGAAGAGGAGGAGAAGGAAAAAAGCACTAACGACCCCCTACCAGATTCCAAGGATAATAGTCACACAGATGGCTCTGCTTAAATCAAGTGGATTACAAAATAAAACCAGACATCATGAATCGGGGAGAGGGACTGGTAACGATAAAGGGGGAGATGCAGGCAGGATGGGGATAAGTGAAGATAGCAGGACAATGATCAGAATGCACCACATACATGTATGAATTGTCAAACAAAATCCATTTAAAAGAGAGAAGGTTCAGAAAAAGACTGTGGGGCACAAAAAAAATCGTTAAATATAAAAGAAATAGCAATATTAAACCAAGAATTTTGTCACAATAATAGGCACAGTTTGGTAAATACATAAATGAGTAACTGATCAATTGATTAGATACAAGGCATGAGTAGAAAGGGTTTAGGCTTCTGGACAAGGGATGGTACCTTTCACCAATGGTAAACATTATGTTATGTCTGGGGAAAGAGGTCATGAACTTAGCCTCAAGTTCAGACTGAGAAAATGACTCTGCCTATAGTGTGCAGGTGGCAGTACTTACTGGTCACATAAAGGAGGCCAAAATGCAAGGATAAGCCAAAATGGAGGATGATGATTTGAGAATTGTCAGCACAGCGATGATGATCACTCTTTCCATAAGAAACAAGTGCAGCCCCTGGAAAACATGCAGAATAAAGAGACGAAGCCTAAGGCAATGTCTTAGGATGGACAGTCAACGTTTAAGGAACGGGGGTGGGGCACAGGCAGAGAAGGCTAATAATGCATAATCTAAAAGAATAGTTTGAAAGAGAATTTGAAGATAACAGAAAATAATATCAAAGAAAAAGTAAAAGCCTAAAAGAAGGATTGTACTTAACAGTGTGCAAATATCATCACCTTCAGTTTCAAGAGACAAAATGAAGCAGAAACCTGACTATGGCAAGGTTCAAGAATGGAGAAGAAATACAGAAATGGCATGAGGAAGGATAACGTATTCTTTTAAAGCCAAGAAAGGAAAAGGCATTACTTTGAGGGAATGAAGTCAAAGGTTTAGGTTTTGATTTTTTAATTTTTCTGTCCTTTTCTCATCAGAAGAACTCAACAAGGAAGTTAAAAATAATGAATACAGTAAGAACAGCCTTGGTACAAGATTCCACCAGATATGGATAAGGTAGATTTTCAGTTTTACTATGAGATCTAAAATGCTAGACAGGAAAATAAGGTAAAGGTTCCAAGTTACACTGAGTCAAATGTGTCAACCTGAGTCACACTGCTCAAGGCTCTAATCACAGGAACTGGGGACCAACAGTAGTCAAGCTAATTACAGGCCACACTCACATACCTTAGCAAGACTGACTGGATGAAGCTAGAGAGAATGGGAACAATACCTATAGCTTAGAGGAGAAGGGACTAGGTCTAAAGTAATATTTGTGCAAATTCGCCCAGCAAGAAGAACTTGAACAATACAAAGACATTCAAACTTCTAAGTGAAATGTGAAAGACTAATACATACTTGATATCTCAACTAATAAAAAGATTCTTTTTTTAAATCCTCAGTTTCCAGCACTGAACCTAACATATAACATCCAAATGAATGATGCCCAGAATCTGGCTCAGTCACCACCTCAGCTGACAGGAACATCTATAGAAAAGAAGCTGTATAGTAATTCTGATCATGTGAACACAAAACTCATCCTATGCAACCAAGAGAATGGAAGGAAGAACTATCCCTGCTAAGGACAAGCGCACATGACAGGAAGGGCCTTAATGATTAACAACTAACTTCTATCAAATACAGTATTAGGTGGCACTGCACTAAGCAATTTGTAAAAATTATCACATTCTAACCTCATAACAAACACAAGATATATATATATATATATATACACACACACACATATATATGTTTCCTTTTCACAGATGACGAATCTAAGGTTTAGAGATGCTAAATAACTTGTCCAAGATAACCCCGAAGAGATGGGGGGGGCACCGAATCTGAGTCTCATGTGTTAGCCATGTTCTAAGAATTTCATGTGCATTAATTTACACAATCCTCATGACTACTTTATGAGATTAATATAATCTTTACTTTTTAAGTGAAGAACTAAACTTAGAGGGGTTAAGTAATTTGTACAGAGTATACACCTAGAAAGCAGTGGGGACCAGGATTCAAATTCAACTATCACCCCATAATGGTCCCTGTCCAACTCATTTTCTAAACCAGAACTCAATATACCTGTTTTCAAAGTGCAGATCGTGGTATCAGTTCATTGCTTTAGAACAAGCAGATTTTGTCAGATAATCAAAATAAAAGGTTGGACTGGACGACAGCAGTCTTCCCCAAGCTGTCACTGCTGTTCAACAGGAGGCTGAGACACTGGGGATTACCAACTGCAACACAAGCACATGTAGTAGTTCAGTTTTACAATGAGCACTGAAAATGCCAATCAAAATGTTTAATAATTTTTATATTTGTTTATTTATTTGCAGTGGGGGAGCATATCGAGGTCAGAATATAACTTATAGAAGTCAGTTCTGTCTTCTCACCATGTGGGTGCAAGGTATAAAACTCAAGTTGTCAGGCTTGGTGACAAGTGCCTTAACTTGCTAAGTCATTTCACCAACCCTAAGTCATTTCACCAACCCTAGCCAATCAAATTTAATAATGCAAAATATTTAGGAACTTATAATCAGGGGACAGAAATTGGAAAATCTATTTATTTATTTATTTATTTATTTATTTATTTATTACTTATTTTGTGACCCTGTAGCCCTAGCTGGCCTGGAACTTGCTATGTAGACCAGGCTAGCCTCAGATCATAGAGATCTACCTGCCTCTGACTTCTGAGTGCAGGAATTAAAGGCTTACACTACCACATCCACCTGGAAAATCTCTTTTGGTAAGTACAAAAGTTGTACAGACAAAGAAAAAAATTAATTATCCAAAGCAAATGCAAAGCTTGTTTCAGTGGAATAACCCAAAGAATAATAAATGTCCTGAGGCTTTTAGAAGCAGAAGGAGAAGCAGAAGGAACCAATAAAGGGCATAAGTTAAGGAAAAAGGTCAATGTAACTTTAATAAGACAAAATATTTAGCCACTGATCATGAGTATGCAAAAATGGAGTATAAAGGTGTGTTATCAAACCCTCGTGAAGAAATGAAAATTACAACATACAAATTGCAGTTCTGTTCAAGACTATCACAAGTAAACAGAAAGCACTCCTGAATAATAAATTATAATAACACGGACAGACACTGCATCTTAAAATAATTACCTTCATGCAAACACACCTAAGCATAATAACATGAAACATAAAAAGCAAATCTGAGGTTGGAGAGATGGTTTAGTATTTAAGAGTCCTTCCTGCTCTTCCAAGAGGGCCAAGTTTGATTCCCAGCACTCATATCTGGCAGCTCATAACTGCCTGTAGCTCCAGGGGATCCAACGCCCTCCTCTGACCACTGCGGGTACCCACACACGTCACACACACACACACACACACACCAATTTTTAAAAAGCAACCTGTCAACTATCAGAAACGGAAAAAGAAAGTCTTGTACAATAAAGTCTAAGAAAACAAAATACTTCTCATCACCTCAAGAAATGAGGGGTAGCTAAGAAATCAACAACAGAAAAGGAAAACAATGTTCTAAATAGAAGCACAATGTCAGAGCACAACTTACGTATGGAAGCACAACTAGCTGGTGTGTCAGAAGCACTAATGGGCAGGTTGAGGAGAAAATCTTAAGATTTTACTTAAAGGGAAAGACAATGAACTAAAAGCCAATCTTAATGTGGTCATTCAAAAGATGTTTAGAGGTTGGAACAATCTCAACAGAGGCAGGTCGATCATTAAAGGTCTGCCTCAGCTACATAAAGACTTCAATGCTAGCCTAGGCTACATGAGACCCTACCCCAAAACATGGTGCAAGGAGATTGTATTTACAAATTCTGTAAATGAGCAAGTCAGTGAACAAATAGACTGTAAAATGATGGACTGGTATTATACAGACTCAGTCTCTATACGTTAAGTAACTGACTGCATTTGTGTGGTATAATGATCTTATGTATTAAGTTAAATTATTCAGGTTAAAATCAGTGGACCTAAAAGAAAGAATGAGATTCTTGCCTGAAATATTTATTTTAAAACCTTAAAAAGTGCTGTTATGGTCTACATGGCTATTCTCTTGAAAATGCATACATTGAAACCTGATCCCAAATGCAGTATTATTATATTAAGAGGTGCAGCGTTTGGGGGCAATTATGTGATGAGGCTGGGCTAGCATACCTCTATTACCTTTACAGAAGAAGACAGACATCTCACGTTTTCCTATGTCAGATCACGTGCTCAGAGAAGAAGACTGTGCTTGCTGGATGGCAGATCCATGAGTAAACTTGTCTTGGCCTTCCTAGCCCCTAGGATTATGAGCATATTATATTTCCACTATTTTTAAGTTACCCAGTCTAAAATATTTCATTATAGCAGCCCAATAACAAACTGACAACGGTTACAGCTATGTATATAAACATGTTTGGGTTTTTTTTTTTGTTTTGTTTTGGGGGGTTTTTCATTTTATTATTTTTATTTTATGTGTATGAGTATATTGCCTACATGTATGTGAGTTCACCCATGTGGGGCAATGCTACGGAGGTCAGAAGAGGGTTTCGGATTCTCCTAGAACTGGAGTTAAGGACAGTTCATAGCCGCCATGTGGGTGCTGGGAATCGAACCCAGGTCCTCTGCAAGAGCAGTCAGTGCTCTTAACTGCTGAGCCATCTCTCCAGCCCCAACATGTTTGGTTTAATAAGTATCTCACATAAGGAGAGTCAGCATAGACCCTAGGATGATTACAGCTTCACAGCTTTCTAACCTTCAGTTGTTTTCTTAAAATTGATTTTGCTTATCTAGCAGTGTCTTCTGGGTTCCTGCTATAATAATAGAATAGAAAATATCAAAAGACATCATATACTGAAAAGGCGAATGATTCAGTAAGTTTTCAGTCCATGTCTAGATACATGTATGCACCATGCAATGTGTTCCATTGGGAGTCACTGGGTAAAGAGTTTGAGGAGCGCACACTCTGAAATACAGGAGTCTCCCCACTGGAACGAGCACCAGACCAAGAACTTTAGGAGGAATCTGGGAAGTCTGACAGGGATGGCAGGCAGGACCCTCTACTGCAGACACCATTCTCCACAGATGAAGAATAATTTCCAGTCTATCAGAAGTCCCTTCAAATGTGCCCCCCTTTTAAACATATCGAACCCTGTAAGACCTAAATCTATGAGATGAAAGTTTTCATCTAAGAAACCTTTTTCACCTAAGTATTCCTTAAAATATAAAGACCTGACCAACAAACTTCTCCAAACCCAGCTCAGCTGAGGTGACATTGCCAACTCACAGCCAGCACAAAGCACAGTATGTCCTGCAGCCTTCATATTCCTCTACTCCCTCACCCCACCTTCAGGATCTGGCTCCTTTAGCCTCAAAACATTATACACACACAAATCATCACTTTGCCTGCCTTCAATTTCAATGCATCTCACAGTCTTTTTCCAGCATTACCCAGAAACTGTCGTGAGACAATGTAAATGTTCTAAACCTGTTCTGCCCAGTCCGCACATCTATCCTGTCAATGTAGTAGCCAAATGTGGCTACCAGAGTGCAGTAAGGCCACACAAACGGGAAGTATACCAGAATATACAGCCTCTAAGTCAGAAGCAGAAATGCACACAACTAAACTCTCAGTTCTAGATGAAATGGCATTATTCTTTTTACAGTTCGGGGGACTGAATTCAGAGCTGCAAATACACTAAACACAGCACACTCTGCTAGATTCCCCAGCAGTGTAAACAGTTCTAAGCTCTGTTCTCTCCTTCTTTACTAAATTAGCCATAAAATTATCTAGAACTGCCTCCCTATAATTCTGTCGCCCTGACACTACTATCCTCATTGTTTCACTTGCTAAATGTCATCTACACCATCAGCTATAACATCTAGATATATTAAACACTGTCCTTTTAAGCATCATTACTTTATAAGTACTTCTCTCTAATGTACCACTCTGAAAGTTACCCTGACAAATTGCACATATGCACACAGAGGAGGTAAGGGTGAAGAGCCACAGCACCTGATGAAAGCCGAGTTGTGAGTGTTTTAGTATCATGAAAGCAAAAGCATACATGACACCTTTGTCAAATAGTCTAAAGTGCAGCATATAAACTTCAAACAGTTTAAAATACAACCAGAGGGCAGAACTACTGTCATAGATGAAAATATCAGAAACACAATGTTTAGCCAAAAATAAAGAAACTTTGTAACTACCAGGAATATATGACAAGGTAAACCCATAAAACACTTAGGTTTTCACTTCTGAAAGCATTAAAAACTAAGTAAGATAATTCCACCAAAGCTGTGCAAATCTTTACACTGAATGACTGGGAGGAGGACAGGCAGCCTCTCAAGCTTCCTTTGCTTCTATATACAAAAATTTATTAATCACACACTATAATCCTAGCAATGTGTCAGGTGCTAAGTATACAAAAGTGAAGAATCAGACGGGATCCCCATGCTTTTTTGCATTCAGTCCCTAGTGTAGGAAACAGACAAAAAAACTAATTATGAACCATAAGTGTGAAGGAAAGCACTGACATGTTTTAGTAGAAATAACAGACTGGCCATAAAAGAAAGACTCTCAGAGGGAGACTATTTGAAGTGTGTAAGAGGAAGAGGTGCTGCAGTGTACCGGTGCAATGGAAAGTTTTTTAATTTATGTGTAAGCAGGAGAGTGGCAAGATCTGATTTATATTCCTAAATGATCAGAGATCCAGGGAGAAGGAACTAGATGCAAGGAAGCTTGGGAGCAGAAAATCAGGTGGAAAACCAAAAGTCTTGATGAGAAATTATCTCAGACTAGGCAGACTGATGGGTTTCCAGATGTATAAGGGAGACAGAAGCTACCTGACTTGGTGGTGACAGGATAGCCACATGAGACAGAAAAAAAGAGGTATCACAGATGACTCTCAGGCCAGGCATAGCAGCACATGCCTTTGATCCCAGCACTCAGGAGGTAGAGGCAGGTGGGTCACTCTGAAATGGAGGCCAGACTACTGGTCTCCATTAAAAAAAAAAAACAAAAAAAAAAAAACGACCCTCAAGTGTCTGGCTTGAAGAATTAATCAAATTAGTGCCGTTATTTTCAGAGATGAAAAGGTAGAGGAAGAAGGACTCTAACAAAAGGAAACTCCAACTCTGTCCCTATGGTTTTCTTTAGACCATTGACATATGCCTCATGACTCATTTTTTTTTTTTTTTTGCTTTTTAAGAAGCAGTAAAACAGGCCAGGCATGGTAGTGCACACCTTTAATCCCAGCACTCGGGAGGCAGAA